AAGGTGTTGATTGTAATATTCTTGTTGTTATTTTTCTATGCTATACAGATTTAGGACCTGAACCATTTTAAGTAGTGTCTTTTTAATTTGCTTCATTTATATGTATATAAATGCTGCTTTAATAAGGTTGTTTTTTTTTGAATAAATTCAATAGTATCTTTCGGTTTCATCGATGCATTTTTTTTCTGGAATAATTACTGAAGAAATATTGCGTTAAAGAGAAAGAAATAAACAAAATAATCATGACACTCTCCGACATTTTTAAAACCCACAATCGGTGAACGGAGATTTGGTATCACTGATTTCATGCAAATGCTACCATCTCATATTCAAACTCATATGTAGGATAGTGAAAAGAAGTTTAACAAAAATGTATTTTTGACTTTTTTTTTCTATAATGTTAAACAATCAGCTCAAATTCAGATACTGATTTTAATAGCTGATGGCGTTTTCTATCTAATGCCAAATTTCATAGATGAAACATGATAGCAATTTTTTCTAAAAAAAAATAGACACGATACTTTTTAGATCCCAGAAGACGTTGTCAGAGCTATTTTTCTAACAATACTATTTAACAGAACACAAAATGAGAAGCTGTCATCGTTTCTATAATCGTTTCTCAAAAAGTTAAAAGTATCACAAAAATCGACTAAAAAATACTTTTTTTTTCGGGTTTTATGATACCTTCAACTATTTCAAGGAAAATCGTAGAAAATGCAACAACTCCTCATTTTGTTTTCTTTGAAATGGCATTGTTAATAAATAGTTCTAGTAAAGTCTTCTGGAACCGTGCCCGATTTGTTTGAAAAACCTTGCCATTATAGTTCATCTATGAAATCTTAATAAAAGAAAATCCCATTAGCTATTTTATAAACTATCTGAATTTGAATTAGGTGTTTGACATTATAGAAAAAAAAATTCAAAATACATTGTTGTTAAACTTTTTCTCACCATTTTAGTGATTGATGAATTAAACAAAGATTAGACGTTCAACATGGCTACAATAAAAACAATTTGACAACAATATAAACAAGCCTTTATGAAATAAAGACTTTATTTGTCGAAATCAACGAATTCTTGATTTAATGAAACGAAATGAAAAAAGTTTTTTTGTTATTAGATGAATATTTTAATAAAATTAGTAAAACATTCCAATAATATTTTGTTGCTACTAAACTATTGAATTATATTCTAATGTCTATTATTTTACAATAACATTATAATACAAGGTTCTATGTGTTTTATTGTTAAATAAAATGAAACATTCATATTCGAAGTACTGACATCTATTTTATATGAGTGATTTTTCGTTTCTAGCATTATTTATTCATAAAAATACCCATGTTAGATAGATATTCCTCCATAAATGAATCAATCCAATCGTTTGATAATCAGAAAAAGATTTTTGTTCAAATTTTAAAATTGAATCAATATGAATAACGATTTATCAATCCATTATTCTCATCTTGAACAATGTTCCGATGAAATATTTCTTGAAATATTTAAATATATATCATTACATGATTTATATCATGGTTTTTATAAACTTAATCAACATATTAATAATATTCTTCATTCAATAACAGAACTTTCATTAATATTGGATAAACCAGAAGATATTAATGATGAAGCAGTATGTTTTTTTGCATCACGTATTTATCATCTTATTGTACGACATTCCAGTGTTGTACATTTTAATCGTTTTCCATCATTACGTTCATTAATATCATTATTTCCATGTGATCGACAATTACGTCATATAAAAACAAAAGATTTACCAAATTTAACACATTTAACTCTTGGTTTTACAGTAATTTGGGATTGTGAAATTTCAGTACGATTATGTCGACGAATTATTTCAAATAAATTTCCTAAATTACGTTATTGTTCTTTATGGCCACCAGCATTTGATATTAATATGTCAGTAATTAAAACACCATTATTAACTCATATAGAATTAAAAGAAGGAAATTTTGATGATCTTTGTGTTGTACTTAATTCATGTCCAAATTTAAAATATTTACAAGTATGAAAATATTTTTCGTTTTATGATTATAATAGTATTTAATCTATTAACACTTGATAAGTGATACAACTTTTGAATCCAAAAATTGTGTTTAAAAGTTAAAAAACAATTCGAGAAGAAATCAAGTTTACGTTAAAAAAAATAGCGAATCGTGTTTTTCTTCAACCAATTTTTTCATGAAAAAAGGTGTAGAAACATCCATGTTTCTTCGACATAGTACGTCCGATTGAGCTGAAACTTTTTTTCATATATATTATACACTGTTTCAGATTGATATTTCTTTTTTCATTTTAAAAAATATTGTTTCATTGATTTTTGGCAGCTCTTACAAAGGAAAAACTCGATTCAAAAAAAGCATGCGTTTATTTAAGACATTTTCGATATTCTGGCTTTTTTATTCGAAGGACAAAAAAATAACAGGATACTCACTCCAAACAGTGTCTAGTATCTGTAGAAAAAAAAATTCAGTTCGATCAAACATAGCATCTCGGAGAAATGAGGGAGCCATTGTGATTCCAGTATGTCAAAGAAGATAGTATTCGAAAACTTTAAGTCTATGACAAACTATGCTCTACTCGTACTCCTTAACACGAATAGCATCTGTCTATTGAAGCATGTTGACTGTTTTGCTTTTATTACGTATATTTAAAAAATAACATGTCATACTTTTTGAAGAACTATGAGAAAATCAGAGTTGAATATAATCCATTTTTGAACTAATATATGATTTGCGTACTAGATGCAAATAATTTTTATTAATCTTTATCTTTTTATTTACTATTATCTAACGAAATTAAATTCTATGAAATGGCTGTTTGTTTTTGTTTTTGGATTTAAATTAGATGCTTGTTTCCATATATGCAAAAGCTCCAAGTAAACATGTCGAAATTTTATCTGTTACACGACTTGATGTTTCATTTATTCGTCGTGATCCAAATTGGATAGAAAAATTTGATCAATTACTTTCATTATTACCAAATATTAAACGATTATTTATTGATATATGTGTTATACATATTGATTTTAATCAATTATCTCGTATACTTAAACAAAGACTTATTCATTTACATTATCTTCAATGTAAAATACATGCTATTGCATTTCCAATTAAAATTAATAATATACAACAATATCATCCACTTTTCAAAAATATTGATTTAAAAGAAATTGATAATAATGATTGTCGATGTGGTGGAATAAAATTATGTTTAAATGGACAAAGAAAAGAATAGATGAATTTAAGTTTATGAAAGAGTTTGTTTTTGTATTAAAAAAAAAGGAAAGCTTTTTTTTCTATTTTATATATTGTATGTAGTAAAAGTTTAGAAAAAGTATTTTTGAAATAAAGAAATTGAATTGTACAGAAAGTGAATTTAATATTTTTATCGATAAAAAAAATTGAGATAAAAGAGAGATGTTTGACTAACCAATAATGACAGTAATATGACTATTAATAAAATTCATTACAAGTAATTATTATCAAGACATGAGAAAACCTTTCGTGAAGAACTGATGTATCCATTTGTAAAAAAATTCAATACTATACAATATATTTACGATTGGTTTTGATTTAATATCTTTACTTGTATATTGCACACGAAAGATATAGAATGAACGCATCAAATCATTTTCATAAATTTTAATAGAATTTATGAATTTATTTATTCGATATGTTAAACTTAAGTAATAATTCTTTCCACTGAGTGCGAAAGTACAACAAAAAGATCCAATAATCTAACAAATAGATTTTTTATGACTATCTATTCTTATTTTTCTTGTCATGTATTATACCATTATATTGAATGATCATTATTGATGACAGCTGAATATAACACAGCATACTTTTTCCAATAAAACATTGTAGATGTAGAGCATTTTTCATTATGATTGGAGATGTGCAAGGTCACCCTATCCTATCCTGCAGAGTAGAGTAAGAGTGAGAAAGTTTCTCTCAAGAAGAAATGTTTTCAACTGATTAATCGATTTCTCATCGAAACCTAATGGATTGAAGGTTATCAACCATACTAAGTTAAGAATATGATCATGAAAAATTCCTTTAGATCTTCATAGGTTCATTTTCTAAAAAACACCTGATTTCCCAGACAAATAAACTTTTAGTCAAAAATCTCTTTTGATCTGTCCAAATTATAGAGCATATCGAATTTCCTAAAAAAACCAGTAACTTTTCTATCTTTCAAATCATTTTTTACATACAATACGGCAATTTTAATTTATATAACAGATACATATCAACATTTCAATCTGAAAATCTTCAAGATGATATTATTTTACTTAAAACTCATTTTTTTAGAAAATCAGTATATAAAAATCTAACGAGATTTATCATGATCATATTCGAAATCAGCATGGTCGATAATCTTCAATCTACTAGCTTTCAGTGAGAAAACGATTGATCAATTGAAAACGTTTCTTCGTCAGCGAGGGTATAGACTACAAAAAAAAAGTTAATCCTGCACATCTCTAATTGTGATCAAGTGGAAAATATATCAATATTTTTTATTATAGAATTCGAATGAAAAATAAATCATCTTTTTATTCCTAATTTAATATATTTTAATTTCTTTCATCAAACTGAACCATCAATTGATGACAATGATCAATATCAAATTGAAATTGTCCATTACATATACATTGTTTAGGTTTTTCATTATATTTATAATAATTAAATTTTAATGCAAATTGACAATGAATATCTATATTCAAAAAATAAAAGTTATTCAATAAAAAATAGAAATATTCTGTTTAATTTCACCTGATTTACACAAACATTTAAAATTCAAGGAATGTTTAGATAATACACCATTTGAATATGAACATGAAATATTTAATATTGGTTTCTTAAAAAAATAACCAATAATATAAGATAAATAATAATTTTTTTTAATCTTACTTTATAACACGAACATTGTTGATTATATATAATTGAACATAAACGTGGACTAATAAGAAAAAAGTCTTTTCCACTATCAATATAACCTTTAGATGATGACATTATAGTTAAATCTTGATGATTTCCATGATCAAGACCAAATAAATGTCCGAGTTCATGTAGATAAGCACCAATTGAATAAAATAAAGATTCAATTCTAATAAAGAAAAAAAAAAAGAACATAAATTTTTCTAAAATTTATTTCATACTTATTTGTATTAAGATTTTCATAGAATTCATTAAATGATATTGGAAGATAATTAAATTCTTTTGGTAAATTTAATACAATCATATTATTAAATGCTTTAAATAAAATACACGGAACATAGATTGTTGAATTGTAAAAAAAAAAGAAATCAACTAACTATAAGCAAATGTTAATGATGATGAAATAGATGATTTAATGATGAGTTTTACTGATCCATCTTGTACTAAATCTGTTTTATATATCTGACAATAAATTTCTTTAAATATATCATTACCAGTTATCTTATCTTCGAAATCTTTTTTTAACATTGATATATGATGAATTTTTCTTTCAATATCAAATAATAATGAACGTTTATATCCCATTTGTTTGTAGAGAATTTCATCGAATGTACATCGAACAAGTTTAGTTAAAAAAATAAATTTTTTACATATATTTTCTATATCATGATCAATAGTATCAGAAAATGATACATAGATAAGTCGAAGAGTAATATTTGTTGTTTTTAAAGGACTATAGATTAGCGTAAATGATAATTCTGAAGTTAATGTTGATAGTTGAATTATATTTTCACCAGGATTAAGTTCAATATAGATCTATTGAATATTTTTATTATTAAAAAGAAAACCAATATCAAACTTCACCTTAAAGAGACCTTGAACAATTGGCCATTGATATTTATTATTGACTAAAATTGTTTCATGATAAATATTATCAAAACCAAATAATTGAATAATTGGTTGATAAACAATTTCTCCTGCTTGATAGTTTATAATCCAGATGCACATTTAAAATCTTAAAATAAAAAATAATTCTTCAAATTTCTTCTAGTTTTAATAGATGAACCAATGAGATGATGATTTAAAAGGTCCAAAAAATAGTTTACACGGATGTTTTTTTGTACTTTCAATATTACAACTCGAAAGTAAATGTTGAAACCTTTATTAATACATTAGCTTGTAGAATAGAAGCTACTCTACAAAATGTACTATTGGAATTTTTTGTTTTTCTACAAGTCTTTTCAATTTTTGTTTCTCTTAAAACCTCATTGTTGATTCGAAGGCATTTTGCAAAGAAAGGTACTCTTTGCAAAGTGCCTATAGTTTCACTTAGATAAAAGTCCCAGCTTAGTTCAATATAATATTTTGTGAAGAAGTGTTCGCTCAACAAAATAACCGACTCCAATTAATTTTGGTACATTCGAAAGAAAACTTATAGGAGTTAGTAACAACCAATGGGTTCACCATTCAATCTAGTTTTTTTTTGGAATTTCAAAAAATTCCTTCACTAGTTTCGAATAAAAAAAGCTACAATATTTCTAATCTTATATTCAAAGAGAACACAAACTTCTGATGATTATCCATAATGTTTTGACTTATGTAAGACACTTTCAAGTATTATAAAATAACTTACTATATATTAAATAGAAATTTTCTAAGACACTGAATTGAAAATAATTTTCTTATGTAATAATCTTTTTCTTTACTATTCCCTTTCATTATTAATAACTATTCAGGATAAAAAATTCTTTTATTGTCTTTTACAGAACAGACTACTTCCTCTATTTTAGTATTGTTCATATTAGAAACGAAAATTTTTCATTCAATGAGAAATAATAATCAAAGAAATATGATTGACTTTATACAAGTGATGAAAAACTATAATTGATCAAGATAAGCATTAATTCATAAATACTCATTCAATACTACCTCTATTCTGTACATAGTATATCATTGTAAATATGATTAATAGGATTAGCCACTTTCTGAAAAGTCAATATTATTTGACAATAATGTTCTGTCATAGTGGAGCAATGAATATATAAAGTCTAAGACATCAAATACAACAATTACGTTGATCTGAATGTATACCAAATGAAACTATTCAACAGAGAATTCGAACAAAACCTTACAGAAAAATACAAAAATTCCATGATCATGAAGGTCATATAGCACATTTGTAAGTGTAATGGTATTGGATATCGCAACTAAATAGTATTTCTCTTAATTGCGTTAATATTTGTTTTAAAGCTGTAGCAACATATTTTGACTATTATACTGAATCCCGTCAATCAGTCTTTTTACTACGTCTAGTAGAAAAAACTCATATCAAATATGATACAAATGTGTCTGGAAAAAGAGATAGATTCAAGAACAAATGCTTTAGCATATAGTAGAACTAACAAATAACTTGACTTTTCGATTCAATAATATTGTGTTATAGCCGTCTAATGTATTAAAAATCAGTTAAATGAAAACCCGGTTCACTAGCTACGACAAGGATTGATGTATACCTATTCAATATCTCTTTTATTTGCCTCAAAAAATTAGTTCTATATGGATTAATACCTCTATATCATATAGTTGGAGATATCCTCTGTGTGATAAATGACATCTGTAATATCACAGCTGGCAAATCTGTAAATATTCAGATAGATGAAAAAACAAAAACAAAAACAATAATAATTATTCTCACTTCAGTCTAATTCGACTTGTTCATTTTTGATATAAACAATAACAAGTGTTTGATTCACATAAGTTCTATAATCAAAAACAGTCATCAAGATTATCTTTTATTTACTTTTCGTCAAAACTCTTTGTTCCTGCTGATGATAAACTGATCATACGTCTGTTTTCTTTAATACTCTTTATATTTATATTTACATGTATACAAGCATCATATAATCTCACTGATCATACTTTGAAAATGTCAAATCAATTTATACTATAGACACATGTATATCAAAAAAGAAAACAAATGACGCTCAACTTTTTTAGTTAAGTGTCATCGAACTCATCATAATTAATAATGTTTTTTTTTTCTTTCTGTGAAGTATCATCATTGATGATATCTTGAAAGAAACGTATGAAGAACAAAAAAAAAACCAATAGAACTTTGCTATTTATCAGAACGACAATGTGTGCAACGCAAAGAAAATAAGATCACGACAATAATAACAACCAACAGAATAACATGAAACACCCATCAGCTGCAATAAACGAAGTCAGTAAGCATTTAGACAGAAAAGTAGACAGTCACAGAATAGAAAAGATATTGCCAGATGAGGAAAATATCATCTATCATGTCAATCAGGCTGTCCCAAACTGTAATGGAGAGGGACATCATAAGAGAAAAAAGAAAAAAAAGAAAGAGAAAAAGATCTTACTATACGATATGAGATATACCTCAACTGTTCCTTTATTCTTTTCTTCAAGAAAAGGACGATTTCCATAATCATCATCATAATAACATCGTTGTGTGTTTTTGTTTTATCTGTTGTTTGCTAGCTACCACAACTGCACTATACGATTTGCTCATATCTACATTTGTGTGTATTTATCATCGATGGCATCAGGAGGGACTACAACCGGTGCTGCTGGTAACGCATCAAATGAATCGAATACTGGTCGAGTTGATGTTGTTTCAATGATTGTTCTTGTATCTTATCCTAAACATTATCGTATATTTGCGGAAAAAGAATTGGTTCTTGAAGCACTTCCAAATGCAGCCGATTCAGCATTTGTTTGGTTTGGTAATTATTCGGCTGAAAAAGACGAACATCCACTTGTCTATATGGATGTTATAAGTAAAATGATTCGTTTGGGTTATCAAATAGCAGCATCAACTGGTGGTGGTGGTAATCCAGCTATTGGAGATAATATGTCAACTCATACATCACATTATGTTTTGATTCGAAAACGTGCATAAACAATAAACAAATGAACTATCTTCTTTAGTGATCTGTCGGTGCTCGGATAATAGAGACTTTTTTTTTGTCTTTTTCTTTGCGTAGTACTTATTCTCTTTTCTTTACATTTTGTTTGTCTATTTCAATTAAAAAATTCTCTAGCATATCTACAGTATTTTAATTGTTAGCTTGTCTTCTTTTTTTTTTGATCTTCTTTTTCTACATCCATTAACACCCGACTATATTGCATTGTCATCTTCTTGTATTATCGATGAATCAGAGAAAAAGAGGAACATACTAGACCATATGATATTCATCAAACAATAGTGGCAACATGTGTGATAAATAGATAGTATATAGCTGAATACAAGACTTACATAAGACAAACAAAATAATGGACAACCTTGAACGATTCATATGAACGATAAATATTGCAAAGAAAATATGCGATCAACTAGAAAAATAAAAGATAATCATTATTATGACATAATCGAATGTATAGGATTAGAAATAATGAAATCTATCTATGGTAATTACAGTTTATGAAATCAACCTTCTAGAATAATTAGATTGAATACATTAAAAATACTATTTTAATCTTAGAATATGATATTAATTATTACATTGTAAATAATATGTACGTATATGTATTATTTATATTTTGATATGTTAACTATAATTCTGATGGGCATTTAATGTAATGATAACAATTAATTAATCAAATTATAGAGACTATTTATAAATTGATATAAAAGTTTATATCTAATTTGAAGTTCTGTAAAAAAAAAAAAAAGACAATGATAGAGTTTTCAATAAAGCTTAGTTGATGACTTATTGAATAGACTGACTCAATTCAAAAATTAATCAAAATTTTGTGTTCCTATATTTATCTATTGTCTGAAGATAGATTAATATTAATTCTATTTATTTAGCTATTTCATATATTATAAAATAATTAAGAACGTATTGAAAAACTACAAAAGACTAAATAATGTTGATTGTAAAAGTTCAGCATAAAATAATTTAGAAATATTCGGCAAACTAGAATGAATTAATTTTTTTTTCTTTTTTTTTTGTTTTTCAGAACTGTTGGTTCTCCTCTGTATGTCAACATACTATTTATCATTTACTGTTATCAATTTCAATGAGAAATAAAGAGTATCTAATAAGTACATGTAATTTATCATCTTTATCGAATGTTTTCTTTTTATATTTTCATTCTATTAACTAATAATAATTTTATAAACTCGAATACCTATGCTTTTATTAGTTAGTAAAGTTGTTTAATATATATAGTTAATGACATTACAGTACAACTTAATGGCTAAAACACAAACAGATAAGTTTATCCTTACGTAACTGATTCGATAAGCAGATGTCTTCATTAATCTGTGTTTGATCATTGTTAATTACATGAATACCTAAGATAGGATATCATTATATTCTAATCCATATAAATATTGATATATTCTTTATATAAACGAGTCATTTTGTAATACCTAATCAATGTCTTAAATATTTAATTTCAAATAATAATTTATTCACCAACAAAAAAAATAATAATAATAACGACAGGTTTCTATTATTTGCTGATTGAATATTTAAATTCGACGAACGAAGACTTCATTTTCATGTGATAGATGGCGTCTATTATTTAGTATATAATTATTCGATCAATAGCGTTAGATGACAGTAGTTAAAAGTTGCTATTGAACTGAAGTCATACAAATTTAGTAGAGTTGGAACTCCTATATATATTACATTAAATTGAGATGGTGTAATTATAGTAGAAATCGATTTGATTTGAACGGACTATTTTCGAAAATCTCAATTATAATCGATTCGAATCTTAGTCGCTTATTGAGAGACGGACGTATATTTTCGACGAAAATGTATTGAGTAGAAGTTTGAATCGAGGTGTTTTGCAGCTTCTTCTCATCTTTTGGCGTCTCTAGCACCTGCATGCAGAAAGTCAAAGATTATAGGCTACGTTTCCATAGCAATGGGAGATAGGAACTACAATCATACGATACGTGTTCCTAGCAGCGAAAAAACACGCATCAGTAACGACAGTGCCTTAATCATTCTCGAACTTTCTACAATCTTTCAAAGCATTCTATAAAGCTGAGATTTCTGCTGTAGATTCTAGCTAGCCTATATATTAGGGCTTTTGATATTATTGATGTAACAAAATTAGAACAGGACGAACACTGAAAAGTATGAACTAATTGAATTCTAAGTTTAGGAAAAACTCAATAGTATATGCTAAAATTCGTCCAGAGAAAGGATGATACGCTCAAAAGCTTTTTCAACGATTATATCAATGCGTATAGCATGGTAATATGGTCCTTGAAACGACAAAACGAAGAATTAAATGATATTTGCCGCTTTGTATGGCATATATTGTCTATATTATCATTAGAAGAGAATACGTTTGTATTGAAGATGTATCTGACAATACAAATAAGTGTTTTCATCATAACAATATGAAATGAATCTAATAAATTAGCAGGATAGGAATTCTAAATGCAAACATTTTTGAGATGCTAAAATTTCTGAGCGACCGCATCAACTAAACAAAACGGTTATCATTTTCAATTATTCATTTATCTGACTTTACTTTTCAAATAAATTATTTAAAACTCTCTGACAATATATCATAAATTCATAAGAGACAGAATTTGTGAGCTCCACACTCTGACCTCTCACACGATGGTACCCACACAACTTTATTAAATTATTCTAAGCGATCCAGATCTTAACAGATTATTCTTGAAAACGATTAGGTTTTCAATCGATTACGTACATTATGCTACATGAAATAGATAATAATAAATTATTCTTGAAATCACTTAAAAGTCGATTAATTAGATTATTTCGCAAACAAATCGTTTTTCATCGATTATTGCTTGAAGAAACTAATTTTAATCTATTATTTTGTTGGATTTCATCAAAATGTGGTGTATTTAATCGAATTTTTGTTGGAAAATCAATTTTCATCTGATTTTTTGACCGGTTTTTAATATGCGTAAACGTAATATTCATAAGATTTTTCATATATGTTGTATGAACATAAAATATTATTTTCTCTATTAACTTTGTATTTAGTCTCTTTGTTTTCTGTTCTAGTATCAATTATAGTCAGTCAAGTAAATAATCTTACCAATAACGTAACAATGATATTAAATGTATACTTTTTAACATAAAAAAAACCTACGTTAAATAGCTGTAAAATGAAAGCTTTTAACATGAAAGACAGATCTTGTTTTGTTTTTATTTTGTTTTTCTTGAATAAATGAACAAAAATGACAGGCATCGTTGTATATTATGTAACAATTAATATCTTGTGCTATCTATTATAATAATAAGTAAAAATTATTAATTGATATTCTGCAAAAAAAGCATCAGATCGATACACACAATTTGACGTCATCAAATTATGTATGATTAGATTGCAAATGTTTATTTCATTATATATATATAAATGTAATTATATTGATAATATAGATTTTTATGTCGATAGTATATGAAAGAGAAAAATGACAACACGAGAAATGATTTATATCGTTGTTCGAATTGTCAAGATCTTTGAAAAATAAGGTCATTCTTGATGACGTGTATACATAAATAGTTTATAGTTCATTCCATATTATAATAATCAATAATCACCTGAATGACAATCATATAATTCAAATACATATGAAATTAGTATCAATGATGCAAAAATTTTGATATAGTAAAAATGATGATTTTTTTTTTTCAATACTAATATAAATTTGTTTAGAATATTTTTCTATATGATAAATATGAAATAGAATGATCCATTTGTCTCAATATAAAATGAAATTAATATAGAAATTAAACCGAGTAAAAATAAATAAAGTTTTCTATGTAAGTAATTATAAAAGAATTTAATTTATTTGACATCAGATGATTCACAATCAATTTAATCAAATACTGTTGGATTTGAATTCAAAAGAGCATAAATATCTATCGTTTTTTTTTTCCAAATTATTCTTATTTCGTATATTCTAATAAATATTCCTATTGTTTTATATTAATAACCTAATGACATATAAATTATTAATAATTATAAATGCAAATCGTAATCGTTCCGAAGACTACTCTAGAGGATACTATCAAATATCCATTAATACACTTAATGTGATTGCTTTATAGATTTTGATTAAATTTCGTTTTGAAGAATATTTTGTTTTTTTATAATTTCAACTTGAATGATCAATAAACGAACTATTTATTCTCGAATTCTGTTAATTGTACAATAATACATGTTAATATAATTAATTCTATAGACTCGATATCTTTTTCAAACAAAAAAGAGTTGGTCAAATCTTGTTGTTGATCAATGAGGACATAAACTATTGCTGGTCAATATTCAATAGAATATGATACGATATATAAAAAAAAGACTTCGAGACTAACAAAAATTATTTGTATGTAATAATAAATTTCAATGTTCGGTTTAAAAAATTAACGAAAAAAAAAAATCTCCGGATGAATTTCTCGTCGAACATATTTCATATGAATATTATCATTATGAAAAAAATATTATTGTATAAACGAATTTTATATTTTATAATATTTGCTATTTTTCCCTTTTTTTTTGTTCGTTCAATCTAGAAAACATGTTTATTGTATTCTCAAATGACTTTTTGTATATTTGAGTTTTATATTATCGTTTCTTTTCAATAATTTTCTTATATATTTGCTTTTATTACACTTGTACATTAATAATTCCACTTAAAATACAATTTGATCATCGTTAAACATTCTTCATTATTAATGTCAATTGAAGTTTGAAGATAGGAAAAATACTTTTTTTTTTGAAAATATTGACAAAAAAAAAACAAACAAGAATTATTTTAATAATGTTTAATTTTTCGCTCAAGTTTATTTGATTAGGAATTGCTCAAGGCTAAATCAATCTAACAAACAAGTTAGGAAACAGTTTACCTAATATATTGAGAATGTTAAAATTATTCAAAAACAGGAAAACAATCAAGAATAGATTTTATTTTATTTTGAAAGTAAAATTAACTCTAATCCGCTCATCTGGAGTTCGACGAAAATAAATATTTCAAAGATATGTATTATTGCTGTTCAATGTAATCTGATTTGAAGTAAGAAAAATTCAACTGTTGTATTCAAGCAATATTCAAATGAGACTGGTAGAATCAAAGGTATTTTATAGATGGATAGATGAGAATTAAATATTTTATTTATTTTTATCTCAAAATAATTTTATTTTGATTTATAATAGATTGACATAGACATCTATTATAAATCAAAATAAATTGGATTTTTCTAATCCATTTTTTTTAAGTTCATCTAAAGATAAAATGTCACGCGATAAGCTTTATATGATAGATGTTAATAAAGATAATCCATAAAATCTTTCATGAACAACTAATCACGCATTTCAAATATCCTAACTAATTGGGCATCAATCTTATTGTAAGATTTTCCATACTGACATATTTTCTTTTCCTTGTTTTTATTTCTTTTTTTTTATCTCTTCAGTATATTTTCAAGTATATTTTGCAAGTGCATGTTCTTCCGCATTCGAATATAATTAGTCCTAGCCGATACGACGACCTTTCGTCTATGCTATTCCGGATTATCGTAAAGAAATTCATTAGATTACATACATGAACACTCTAGATGACGACAATATACGCTGAGTACGATTTTTTTTCATTTGTTACTTGGAGAAAAATGATGACGACTGTCGCTTGTTATCGGTTCAAAAAAAGAAGTCAATCTGACAGTGATAAATGAACCGACTCTTTTTTGTTACAAGGAATTTTATTATGCTTTCTGCTTTCTTCTTTTGATTGTCAATGAATACTAACTAGCTAATTTACGAATAAGTAGACACGTATGCAGAAACATATTTGCTTTTATCAAATGGAACGTTAATCGAATGTATGTGTGTGTATGTGCATTGAACCTGTTATCTTCAAATAAGAGGAAAAAATAGAAATTATGGGATGCTCGGTTTCTCTTATCTCTTTTAGCGTAGGCAATTCAAATACTTTTCACTCATTTATGTACGCAACGACATGAAAAGCTCTATTGTTTTTGCTTATGATGTTCAAATGTAAAAAATGAGAACCTAAAGAATAAAAGAATATAGAAGAAAATAAATGAGCCAACATTCAGCTTCGTTTCCAGTCTTGATAAGAGATAAAGAGAAAAAAAACGACAAATAAGGAATGAGAATCAAATAGGATTAAAAGTTCTAACAAAATAGCTAATGCGTGTAGTAATAAAAAATTAAAGAGTACATGACTAGAAAAATAGAGAGAGCGAGAAATAAAAAGAGAGTGAGAGAAAAATGTCTAAATAAAAGAAAATGTTTTCGAATTAGGTGCCGACAGTATTGAGGAACAATGCGATATGAAAACATTGAAACTAATGAGAATGTTTTATTAATATTATAATTATGTTGAACATAGAAGTAAGTTAGTAAAAACTGAATGTCACTCGATCTGATCACGAATTATTTTTCATATCATGATCGATAATGTCAATAGATTGATGATGTTTTCTTGAATATGAAAAATAAAAACGAGAAATTTGAAGATGCATATTTTCTTAGAATTGATATAAATCTTCTGTTTTTTTTTTAATTTATATTAATCATTGTAGATTTACAAATATAATATTTGCTTCATTGTAATATTTGTGTTTCTTTATAACAGACATGAAACTCGTATTGTCCGTATTATTAGTCTTTTTACTTATCATGGGTAAGTTTTCTAATTTAATGACATTTCTATTATCTAGCTTACTGAATTCGATATTTGATTGTTATTATTGCTTGAGCTGTCTTTTGCAATTACTTTATTTTTTCTTTCATTTATTTGTCATATTTATGTAATAGTTACGGTTCATCATTCATCGCCAACCGTCCACCGTATCAACAAACGTTATTATGACACGTGGGATTCAAGAAATGATGCTAGCAACAGTGGAAATGATGAACCTGTCAGAAATTTTCTGTACTCACAAAAAGGTTATAAAAAACAAGATCCATGTGCAAATAAGCCATTATGGTATTTGAAATATCAAGCACGTCTTGGCAAATTATCACCATTTTATGATTGTCTTAGTAATCATGGCATATAGACAAAAATAAAGAAGATACAGACGTTTTAGCATTAAATATTTAAACTAACAAAAGACAGGATGTATTTATTTATCTTTCTTTCTTTTTAATAATCTTTTATGGAAAAAAAAGAGAAAAGAAACACAAATGAGAGCATTTAAATTTTTAAAATAAAAATTTATTAAGCAAGAAAATAATAAAAAAAATAGACAGACATGCACATATATAGATATATATATATATATATGTTTTTTTGTTGTTGCTATACCCCTGGAAATAAAAAATAAAATCAAATACATCACAACTATCAAAATACATTTAGAAATATATAAATCACTACAATCACCTATTAATAAGGTCACAATATCACAAAAAAAAATTAGATGAAAATATATAGAATTAACTCACTACACGCATGTCAAGTAACTGTTCACGTAAACGCATATTGTCTGCATTAGTTGCTTGCCAAATGGTTTCAAGATCAACTTGAAGATTCCTATGACAAGTATATATATATATATACTGGAATTAGTTGTTTACAAATACATTTTTTTAAAAATCTTACCGTTTTTCAGAATTAAGTTCATCAACAAGTACTTGTTTTTCATTTAACAATGTAACAAGTTGTTGAATACGTTGTTCATGTTCTAGACAACGTAATTTTAAATTATCATATTGTTTTTTCGTTCTATTTGAAAATAAAATATGCGGAAAAAAGAATACTCAATATATATTGTATTATATATAGTTTCTTACTGTTCTTGTGTTTCATTAACACGTTCTTTATTTTTAATTTTATAATTTTCGAGACGTTCTTCAAGGTCCATTAATTTATCAGCATCTTGAGTTAATCGTGCTTGTGTTTTATTTATTTTTTCTTCATTTGTTTTAGCCTTAATACATAATAATAATAATGATAATCAAAGATAATAAAAAATAAAATAAAATAATTTTTTTTTCTATATATACCATTGTTAAATAAGTATCTCGTTCTATTTTAATTTGTTCTAATTCTTCATTAGTTTTTTCGAACATTGTTGCTATTCGTTGTTCTTTAAGCTGTTGTAATTCAAGTTTTTTTCCCGATGTTTGTGCACGTAAATCTAATTTTTTATTTAATCTTTTCATTGCTTTTATTTCACCTTTCAAACGTTCAATATCACTTCGATTATCAGTTAATTTTAATTGTAAAGTTTTTTTTGCTGCTTCCGCATCCTATATATAGAAATTCAAAATATAAGTTTAAATATTTTAATCAATAAAGAATGAATTGGTCACAAATCTTGACTTGTTTTGTATATGAAATTTTTTTATAGAATTATCTTTCATAAAGAAAAAAGTATAGTACAATGCATTCTTCAAAATGACTATAAATTAATCCCTCGAGTTTAATTAGAGAGAAAATTATCAGTCTAGAAATATATCCTATTTAGAAAGCAAATTAATCATTACAAATAAAATAGTGAACGAATTGTAATTCAACGAATCAATTTCCGTTTTAAAATCACTTTGGAATTATTTTATATTGAACTAGATATAACTAATTCTTATCTGTTGCCTTGAGAGTCATTAAAACAGAAAATAAATCGATTATTAAAAAGAAAATTAGTCAAAGATCGATTAAGATATGTCACACGAAGGATATAATGGTTTACAACTGTAGTCAAAACAAAAAAAATAATACATTTAAAACAAATTTATGTCAAAAAGAAATCTATTTTTCAACTGTAATGTTTATTATCCACCAGAGATGTGTAAGGTTAGTCTAACAATCCTTTGCAGGATGGCATAAGGGTTAGAAAATTTTTCTCAGTCACGGTACAAAGTATACAACAAGCCAACCTTGCAAATATCTATTATTCACATAGGATTTTTTCCTTTCAAAAAACAAAATCAATTCACGATGACGGTTATATCTAATCAATGTATTACATATTCAACTTATCACAAACTTTTTCGAAATACGAATTGATTATTTGAGTTACAGTTAATTCACTAGAGTTGTGGATTCTTTCAGACTTGGATTTGGGTCTACAAAAAACGTGGACTCGTAGCTCTCTTTAATTCACTATTTTATTCTTAATGATTAATTTACTTTTAAATATGATAGACATATCTAGGCCAATAACTATCTTATTAGATAAACGAAAGGGATTAATTTGTAGCCATTTTGAAGAGCATGTTTTACTATGCTTTTTCTCTATTAAAGATAGTTCTACAACAAGATTGATTATATGAAACGAGTTAGAATTTTTGGCTAACGCTTTATACCTGTACTCGACGAAGAAGTAGTTGCATTTCATGAGCATGTTTTTCACTTAATTCATCTATCAAAAAAAAACACACACAACCAAAATGTTCAAAATAAAAAACAAGAAAATAGAATATAACCTGTTAATCGTTTCATTTCACTTATTTCTTGAACATGTTCTTGAACATGTATTCGATGACTATTATCCATCATTAATTGATCATATTTTCTTTTTAAATCTTCATTTCTTATTCGAATTGTTTCAAGTATACGATCACTTTCAGTTTTTTCACTTTCAACAATTAATAAACGTCGAGTTAAATTTGATACTAAATTTCAAAAAAAAGAAAAAAAAAGTTTTTTTCTTTAATAATCATTATAAAAATCTTACCTTCTTGAATTTGTGCTTTTTGTACATCAGTTAATCGATTTGTTTGTAAATTAAGTTGTTCTTGAAGAATTTTATTTTCTTCTAAGACAAGATATGCTTGTCGTTTAATATGTTCACTATAAAAATTAAAATATAAAATTTAGAAAATTTTTTTTCTAATAAATATTTATTTACATATCAGATAGATGACCATCATCTTTTCCTGATGTTGTTGATCGAGCAAGTCGTTCATGTAATGAGATATTTTCATCAGTTATTAATTTAATTTGATCATGTAATTCATTAAGTTGTGTCTAGAGAAAAAGAATATGGAAATATTATTATTATTTTTTGTTTATTTAGATAATTAATTATATTTTACTTGAAATTTTTTAATAAATTCTTTATTTTCATGTAGTTTTTCATCATAACAAACAAACAATGGTGCAAGAAATTTTTGATTAAGCTAAAAAAAAACAATAAAAAATGAGATTTTTATTTTAGAAAAAGAATAGTATGTAGAAAAAAAATATCATACTAGCCAAATTGGTGATGGACCTTTCATTGGTAAACCTTGCATTTTGCGTTGATCTTTCTATTAATATATATATAAATAAAAAGAACATTTTAGAATAGTGAAATTTATATGACAATATAATTTTAAAAATGCTAAAACGGAAAAGAAAAGAACTATAAATCTGAATTTGTCGGATTATGAGAAAAAACAAATATCAGTATCAAGGAAGAAGAATAAGAGTACTTCTGCCTTTTGCCTACCTTAAAGTATGAGGTGCTGTCTAGTCGCAGATTCAGTAGCCGGATGTTTTCCATGCGACTAATATTAGCTGTTACTTTGGACAGAAAATCTAATGTAGAGTTCTTGCGATCAATTACTTGAGTTTCCCATACACACTAACTAGTTACAAGAGCAGTTGTATATCGCAGCGAAAGTCAACATACTGTCGGATGGGTGATATGAGATAAACAGCCCTCCAGGGTCATTCTATGACTTGTGATACCGAGGTTTGAACACAGTACCTTATGAATATGTGTCAAACAATGTTATCACCATGATATCAACAGTATTGTATTACGTGAATAGTAGAACGTGCTTGGCAGAAGTCTATGACAAAATTTAATACACAAAAAAAATCTAATCTTGGTTTTTTTTGAAAGCTATCTATTTCAGCAGTAGACAATTGAATCAATCGATGGAGAAATTCGTTCCGCTTATGTAGAAATGCGTTACCCCACATAAAATCACACATATCAAAGAGAAATGAAAAACAAGAATATAAACATATATCTATCAATTACTATTTGATGCACTAATTTTAATTTTTGACTTCTACTTATCAAGATAGAAATGGATAAATTACTTCTCTTTCAATGATTTACATGTCTGCTGGTGAAAATTCATTTCTACTAGAATTTTTCCTTAGGATGAAAAAGTAATATGATTGATATCTCTTTAAGTCTTTTCAACTTTGGTTTATTGGATTTCTACTAGAAGTCTTTAACTAACACTCTCCTATTTTTTAAGTAAGATTGTTTATAGTTCCGATAAGATGGCTTATAACTATTGTTTCGAGAGTCTAGAATTGGCATATGTTCGTTTTAACATATTATCATGTACTAAATCTAATTTCACTTTTTTCTTTGACATCTCCTAGCTGATATATTCCTAATAGACATATCTTTCTAATTTTGCACCTTCAGTTGACATTGTAGATCGATATATTCGCTACTACAAAATGTTAACTTCGGCTAATATTCTGTTTTATTTTTTGTTTCTAACAAGATACTTTGATTGATTAATAAGATAATAATTTTCTTTCGTATTAAATACATTACTAATATTGAATACAATATCAATCCTGACAGATCTTATTCATTTCGATAAAATTAAATGTATATGTCTACATGAATTAATTTGAGTTAGAAATTTTTTAGATTTATGTGTTGTAAATCTAATAAAAATATTAAACAACATATGATTGCATACATTCATTTCTTTTCTTAATGTTTTCGGTGGATGCATTGTTTGATATTCACTTGAAGCAGCACTTAAACGATGAACATAATCTTTAAGAAAATGATTTTCTTTTTTCAATTCTTGTATATTAGATTGATTTTGACCTTGAAAATAAAAAACAAAAAAAAAATAAAACATCACTCGATTGTAATTTTTTTTCTTTTTTTTTTTAAACAAACTTTGTGCATATCGATCTCTCGTAAAAATTAATTCATTTTGTAATTGATCACATCGATTTTGTAATGTTTTAATTAAATTTTCTAAATCTTTTGTTTGATCTAATAAGAAAACACAAAACAAGTTACACAAAATTAGAAATTCATTCAACAAAAAAAAAAAAAGGAAAATTTACCACGTCCAGTTT